TTTATCAGGAGACGCTTCACCAGTTGATGAACATTTTGACCGAATAAATACTTGAGATGGTTTTACAAAAATATTACTTCCTGAAATATATTAAATTTAGGTATGATTATTTATTAAAATGATAAAAAACAAACCGGGTAAAGGAATAAATGCTCTATTAGAAATTCTTTGAATAAATGCTCTATTAAGACCCTCTAACTTATTGAAATAAGAAAAATATGTTGGAGCAGATTCAACAGTTAATAATTGATTTCTTCTTTCCATTAAAATATCAAAAGCCATGGCTAGCGGAGGACGCTGTTTCACACCAAGTAATCCAATATCAAAATATTGTGAAAAACATCGAAGCACATCAGGAAGTAAAGATGGACATAATGGTCCTGGTTCTAATTTTACAAATCAAAATAAATATTATTCCAAATAAAATCTAAAACAAACCTTTAAAAACAACTTCAGGCGTGGTTAATATAACTTCTGTTGATTGATTTACATCAGGAGAAGATGATGGAAGGAAAGGTATTTTAATATTTGCATTTTTCCATACTTTGGAATAATATTGTTGAAAATTTTCTGCGAAAAAAACAAGTGCATTTGGTAATTTATATTCCACTTTTGTTTTTGATCCATGATAATGTTCTTGATCAATTCGAGCGATTAATTTATGTAAATCTGGTACTTCTCTTACACCAAGTTCTTTAAGAAAAGAATATTCTTGTGAACGTGGATTAATATCCAACCAATCTATAATTGGTAACTGATTCCATTGAAGACGATTAGCTACTGATGGAAAATGAAGATCACATGGTTTATGTTTACGTTTCGTTTCACTATTGGATTCTAATGTTGTTCCTATAGAAATAATGAAAACCGAACACAATATATCTATTTACCAAGATGAAAAAAACTAACCTATAATACATGGATTCTGTTTTAATGCACGAAGATCATTGTCACTCATATTTTTACGTTGTTGCAATACATCTTGAATAAAAGTTTGAAGCGTTTGTGAATCATCTGATGAACTATTCGATTGAATCGTTAAATTATTTGTTGATGTTGGAACATGAATTGTTCGACATCCGATTGATTTAAGAAATTCAATGGATACTGGATAATCAGTTGATTCTTGTTTATCTTTCTGATTCTTATCAGTCGAAATTTGTGGGATGTAAAGTGTAATTATCGGTAAATTGGCAGATAAACTGGATGATCGAATATATGATTCATTAGGTGAATTCATTCCCTGATTTGTTGGAATGCATTTTAGATTAGATAATATACCTTTTATTTTGTTTGATTCTGTTTCATTAAATTGATTCCAACGTTGAGAAATGAAACTAAGAATAATTCGAGATGTATTCTCATTCTGAAAGAGATGTTGTTGATTTTCCACAAGGTAAAATTCAATCAAATTTTTCATGGAAATTGCCGATAATGATAATCGTCTTTGTAAATCTTCCCGAGATATATGACTCACGACATTTGATGGTAATACATTTGGCGGAAGCGGTAGAGATGATAAATTCAAAGTATCATAAAATTCAATTTTTTCTAATTTAATAATAGATGATTGACGAGTTTCACGGTAACGTATTTTTAACAGGATTTGTTTCATGTAAGATTTATTATTAATATCATTACTACATAACCAACGAAGTAATCCAATGAATTCATCAAATTCTAGAATAGATTCATGAGCTTTCACTAAAATTGTATCATGATCAATTTCTTCAATCCATTGACGTTTTTTTAATGCTTTAAAAAAATCATTTTTCCCAATATCGAATGGAACAAGAGGTACAGGAAGAAACGATTGAATATGTTTAGAAGTTGTAAGAAAAGCTTGTGTAGATGAAATCAAGGAAAGATGATGCTCGGATGGAGATCGTTTCACTGGAACAAGAACATCTTTATCCGATGAGAAGAATCCATCAAGCAGAATACGACCTTGAAAAACAACAACAAAAGAGTATAAGAAATAAAAATGAACATAATATACAAACCAATATCTTTATTTGGTGCTGATGGTTGAAATGCATAAAGAGAAAGAATAGCATTGAGTTGCTGATTTGATTGTTGTGAAGTATTATTAACAACATCAAGAATTGTTTGATCATAAATAAATTTAACAATTTTTCCAATACATGTTAAAAGTTGTTCATTCCATATAGAAATATATGGATCTTGCAAATCAATGTTTTCACGTTCAATAGTTGGAATTAAATGACTAAATACATGCATGCCTATACCTGTTGATTGTTGTGTTGCTAAACCAATAAATATTTGACCACACGGAATGATTTCTCCATCATGAATTTTAAATGGAATCAATCCTTTTAATATTTGATTATTTAAATTATTATTTGTTAATGTTTTCCATTGCTCGTCTTCAAATATCTAAGAAAGAGAAACAAAACAGAATACAAAGATACATGTAAATATAATGAAACATACATTATTTGATGGAAATAAAAATTCAATATGTATAGTAGAAGGTAAACTTTTTTTCAGAACATCTTGAATTTGTTTATGAAAGCCTTTATCAATAATTACTTCAGCTTCGACATCAATATGATTAAGAGTTATGGATGAATTATTTACTATAGAAAACGTTTCTTCAGTTTGTACTAATGACTTTAAACGAAGTAAATTATGTTCATTGTTGGAATTGATTTTTTTTGCTCCTGTTGATAATTTCGTTGATGATAAAGTTTTTCTTGTTTTATTAGCTTGAAAAACAATAGTACCGTTTATTTTAATAATTAATTCATTTATATATTTAGTAAAAGCAAGAACTTTTGTGAAATAAGCTTTTAGTTGTATTAAATCCAAAGTAGGTACTATTTCATTTGTTATTGTATTTTTTTTTGATTTTGTCCGTCTCTTGCTTTTGACGTGTACTTTCCTATTTTTAGTATTTTTATTATCTATTTCGTTTGTTTCTAGTATTGGTTTTGTTTGTAGAATATATTTATTCTTCATAGAAAGAATGATTGAAGTTGATGATGATTGTTCATCAAATGGTAATTCTTTTCGGAATGTTGTTAATGATTTTCCATTTTGCCAAACGAATGCTAAACAGTGCTTTCCAGATTGAATCATTGGTCGCTCAGAATAAGAAAAAACTGAAAAGAAACCAACGCCAAATTGTCCAATAGCATCAACATTGGTATTTCCTTCAGCTATGGTTATCACTCTTTTCCAATCATCTTCACTAAACACATGACCATTATTTACTGCACGGATTTCAGTTATTACACAATTATTAAAATCATTTTCAGTTGGAGTTTGATCATTTTTGTCTGGATTAGAATAAATTGTATTTACTCCGAAATGGTTTTTAATCGATTGTCCAATACCTTCCAATGTATCGTTTGTTTGTCCTTGATTCATTGATAAATAATCACTATTAATCGATTCATAAGTTTGTGTTGCAGTAAAAGGATCACACGTGATTTCAAGAGTAAATGAAGTTGCTTGAGCATCATCGGAATTTTGAATTAATTCCCGATAAACAACAAAATCAGATGAGTAACGAGCCAACATTTTATCAATCAGCATTCGTTGATTAACTTCTACACGATCTTCTACACCTTCATTTATCACTTTTAACCACAGTTCATCTGATGGTAACGATTTTGGAATATTATATTCACCCATTTTTCTTAAAATGAATCTAAAACAATTCTATGATTTTTTTTCTATTTTCTAAGTACTAGAATGATCAATAAAAGAAAATCCTTCAATAGATTATAGTAGATACAAATAGAAATCACTCCTCTCAACACTCATTGCCTAATTACAATGCAATAACTGAGAAAATCAGATCTAGTATTCTAATCATCAATAATTATTTTATTATTTATCTTTATTTTCTTTCAAACTCATTCTTACTGACAATAAACTCTAAAAATGATTGAAAAAATATTCTTTCCAATAGACTACAGAGCTTACGTGTACAACGTCTTTTTTTTCGATGTTAATCTGAAGCATTTTCCATATTGCATTCGTCTTATATACTACTATTCGATGTATGACTCATTACAAAAATATACAGACGAGAAGAGCAGAACGACGACAGCATAAAGAATCCAACAAAGGAAAGAAAAATCAAGAACATACTCTACTCGCACACGACATTTATAATGACTCACAGAGCAAAAAATAAGGACATTTTCATTACAATGAGAACAGAATCAGTTGAGGGTGGAAGAGGAAAGATAAAAACACGAATTAGTACATTGCATTCGTTCTACTCAGATGAACGTTCATTTAGAAAATTCTAAAATTTGCATCATTCGAATTCTGAATAATAATTTTTAATAAGTGACATGTTTAGAGTCTATTCAAGTAGTTGAATTTCGTTAAGGAGTCGTTTTGCTTCATGTATTTCACTTTTGAATCCACACTCGACATAACCAAAAGAACCATCATAATTTATATGTTCACTAGTCCAATGCACACAACCGTTATGTATCTCTCTTGATAATTCTTTTACAATTTCAAATCTACTCCAAGATGGAGACTTAAATAGGAACCTTTTGAAAATGTATCAGATCTTCAACGTGTTATTAACCATTTTATTGGATAAGACATTAAAGAATAAATACGACAAAGAGAATAAAATACTTCTTCTACAATTTTTTCATCTGTTTTTTATTCTAAATGTCGCGTTGCTTCACCAGATACTTTTAATACTCGCATGGAATACTGAGGTAAACAATAATAAAATTTAAATCGTTCAGTAACGATACTGATTTTACGCAAGTTTTTCTCTCGAAATATGTCAGAAAATTGAAGATAAACTTTATTCAATAAACCAAAACCTGTTTTGTGGATAGCCTCTTCTTTCCATTGAGGTAATGAAGGAAAAAAAAATAATTGAATTTGATTTTAAACAATTCAGTGAAATAATTAAAAGACCATATTTACACAAGTATGAACACTTAGTTTTCATCGAAACTCGAACTAGCTCATCTAGGGGTGCATCAATTCCAATTCTAAACTTGAAATTGGGCGTCCCTAAGCTCATCAGATTCCGGTAATATATCCAAATTAGTTACCATAAAATGTAATTCAATCGGAAGATTATATTTTGAAGCTATATCTCTAACTAATGAATTCAAACCATTCGCAATGGATAAATCACATCCTTGAAGACCATCTTCTCTTTTTTCACAATGTTTACTTGAAAGTTCATTTAAATGTGAACTTTCATGAATTTTTGTGCAACTAAGACACATTTTAAGAAGACATCTTATTTGCTCATCAGAAATATTGTTCAATTGATCATTGACTATATCTAGTATTGATCTATCAGATGCTTCTTTTCGATATGCTTCAACAATCGATAATAACTCTTCGATAATTTTCATTGCTGTATTAATTAAACCGTCAGAGATAATATTTCCATTTTCATTACAAATTTTCACATTTGATTCATTATAAGAATCAGATTCAATAAAATCTTTATTGAGTAAAATATAATAACTACGGAATATATTTCCTGGTTGATGATGACAAGAGCAACGAGTACCAATGTCAACTAGAATATTCTCACTAAATATTGTTTTATCAGTAAAGGCTCTATCACCAATTCTATTTTGTGCTTCCATAATAAGATAATCTACATTGGGTTTCATTTTCTCAAATTCAATTCTAGCACCAATATGAGAAGAATCACATCTAACATATATGAGAATGTAGGGATGGATGTGTTACTTAGTATTTGATAGATTCAAAGCAGAATACGATGCGTTTCGACTATAGCTTCAAAAGTCATCATCAGATATCTTTAGAAACTATTACTATATAATAAGAAATCGATTAATAACGAAAATGTGCGGATGAATTTCGGATAAAATTTGTTTATTTATACTCATTGCTTTTTCATAAGCATTTAAAGCTTCTTTGTACTTCTATTCGTCCTTAGCTATTGCACCAAGATTATTATAAACAGATGATACATCCACAGAATCCACCGGCAGATCCTTTAATACAAGATTGTAATAACGTTTTGCTTTTTCGACCTCTCCCATGTCTTGTAAAAATATTCCTAAAAGTACTACAGTTTCTTTTTCTCTCAGTAACATTTTTTGATAATCAATGAGTTGAATTAACCGTTTATCTTCTTGTCCCGTAAGTATGAGTTTTACAAACCACACATTATTTTCAATATCAATAGAGGAGATTTGAGAAATTGTACCCATCGATAGAAGAATTTCATTTTCATCTTTCATATGACTACGTTTGCTAACATCAGCAAGCGGCTTGGATTTATAACAGTGAGTGGTGTCAATAGTCATTTCAAATAGAACAGAACGCTCATATGACGGAAGATTTGCACCATCACCAGCGAATATTGAAGCAACTTCTTTATCGGTTGTTGTCGATAAAAATGTATTCATTGATATTAGCTGGTCAATATTTTCTTTCAAATGTTGTAATTCTGTTAACCCTATACTTTGACCACGATAAACAGTTAACTTCGTTGGAAAATGTTGTGAAGAATATAAATTGGGTAGCTGTTGATAAAGATCAACAACAAAAAACCGAAATCTAAATATATTATCAATATCTTCTGTTCTAAATGCTCGATTCAAAAGACGAAAAAGAAAACAATTTCGTGTATACCAGAAAACAGCATTTTCTGATTCATAATATTCATCAAATTCATTGATTTTTTCTTGTTCACTTTCATTCCCTTCATAGCATTTTCCACTAAGTTTTATTTAATCAGCCTTTGCACTTTGAGTTGATGATGGTATTCGTAATAGTACATCAATTCATAACTGATGCCAAATAAATGAGACATTTTCACTCGTTGTCAAATTACGTATTGATCTGTCTTGATGATTGGAAAATATTGATAGAGGCAATGTATTTTTTTGCTCGCTCTTTATTAATTCGTCAAGACTAATTAAATGATTGCTATCACACGAAAAACATAGCTTCTCATCATCTTTAATGTCGCTATTATTTCTATACGCATAGATTTTTTTAATTTGCTCTAAATCGTAAATTAGCGGAATAAGATAATCAACGTAGACACCTGATAATATTAAATAAAATTTATCTTCGGTTTCCGATGTTATATAATTTATACATTGATCAGCATTATTAAAGAGTTTCCAATTTTTTGCGAAATATCGATTCCTGAATGATCATTCATTCACGTATTGGAAAATGTTCAGATCAAGCCAAACTGTAATCAAGTTGCTGTCCATTAAATAAAAACGAATGCGTTGACAAATTGTGACGAAAACTTGTTCTTCTATTCAGTGCAGACGCATGCTGCTTTTATTTTAACCACACTTCAACTTATTTCAATCTTCCTCTTTGCTTCTTCTTCCTCTCCAACATACACATACTGTACACATCCACACGTCGTTTCTCGTACAAAACTTTTCCTTCGTCTTTTGAATAAAGTAACATTTGCATTGCATCAAGCATCACATCAATAGATATGCCTTTCGATTCACTTAGGCTGTTAAATAACTTGTATTGCAGAAAAAAAACAGAGCATAAAGGAGAGGCTATTTCAAAACACATAAAACGTCACGTGAATGAGTTCCGTATGTTGTATAAGAAAGAAAAATAAAAAGAAACAACCATGTGACGAACTATTTCAGAATATCTGTTAGCATGACTGTTTTTTATTCTGCACAGCAGTGTCTCAATTTTTTCCCCCATAAACGTCAACAATGTCACATCATGGCTTCTAGAATATGTTGATTCAACAACACTTTATCCAAGCATTGATTGTGTGCTGTTTCTCGTATGTTGGAAAAAACCAACTATTGACGATGAATCAGATACACCATTATTCATTTGCTGCTCCATTTTTTTTTCTATGCAAATGGAAGCAGTTATTCAAGTACACTCTGTGTAAGCAGATCAACTTCTTGAAAAAAAGTAAAAGAAAGCATTTGCGTCAATCAAATTTTCTTTGCTTGTTGTGGATGACTCCTGTGGTCCACTCAACAAGTTTTATGCTTGTCACAAATTAGGAGAAAGTCCGTAGTGTTAATGACTTCATGTAGGGAACAAGAGTGAATCATCTAAAATCTAAAAGATCTTTTTTTTTATCATTCGAACTTATCGAAAATGATGTTCTAGTCTGCAGATCAACGTTGTCCTGTCGTCGTTGTGGAGAGACGAAATTTTTTCTTATCAATCTGAAAGAATTTTTTGGCTAGAGAGGGGTTAACTTTCGTTAGGTAGCACATATGTCTAATAGTGAGAGAATGAAACTTTTTTCTTTCTACAGTCGCCATCTTTTCAGTTAATAGGTATTGGGGTTATTCTGCACAATACGTGAAATAAATCACTTGTCCTAATGGCAGTCAGCGACATACATGCAAACAAATTTACTTTGATGACTTTGAATTGCGCTTGACGACAGAGTACGTTCAGTTTTCTTCAGCACGATGACACATGAAAATCATTAAAACACAGAAAAACATGTTTCCTTTTCTTCGTATCGTTAAGTGTAGTCTTGATGGATGAGTGTGGGTATGAATGTGTGCGTAGGTTCTGGTGTTCTCTCGTCCCACACACATCCCACACGCACAGACATACCCTCAAACTTTTTTATGAGTACTTCAATCAAATTGGGGTGCGTGTCTTTTTCTCTTGAAAATATTGTACCTATGAATTTTGACAGATTTTACAAAATTAGTACCATGCGAAAAAAGCTCTCTTTAACGGTTTTTTTTTGATAGCGGCTCTAGTGATTTGCTTCTCCTGAGTCTCAGGAACAATATTTTTTAAAGACAAAAACGAAATACACTCAGATTGATTCCTAGTTATCACAGAAAAAAATTTCAGCTCTAAAATACGTAATGTAGATGTTTGGCGGAAGGGAGAACCTCAGGCCATTTTTGGCCCTCGATCTTTCACCATCTGCTGAAAGAACGAATCTGTGAATTTTAAATATATGACAACTTTTATTCTACTCATCAAGATCCAGCTACCCTGAAAGTTTCAGAAATTTTTACCAAGCCGTTCTCTAGAAATTTGGGAAGGGGAGTTTCTTAAGTTCGGAAAAGAACAAGAATTTATCACAGACAACAATAGGAAGTTTTTTTTGACTGTTTCTCCAATTTTTAGATAGATCCTCCCTACTCTAACTCCTTTGGAACATCTCTGCGTTTGCTAATAATCGATCATCATTGAAAAAGAACTATCGTCTTTTAGAGATTGTACATTTCGCTTATTTTGTATTGATTTAATGAAGCTAAAGAAGGCATATGAGTTTCTCATTTTAGTCCAAATGAGGCTGCGTTAACAAACTGTTTTTTTATGACTTAACGTATTGCGAAAATTGATGAGATTTCTTTCTCTCGGTAAACAAGTGTGAGATTAAAAATAGCTGTTGCAATTGAATATATTAATCATGAATTAGGAGCACTTCCGTAGCTATTTTACATATTAGTCATGGTAAAAAAAGGAAGTATGATTATGTTATGCGAATGATTTGTATTGCAATTATGCATTATGCTTGTTTGCATCTCTATCCTGCGCTCTTAAGAGAGGAGAGGACTAATGACATGTAAACTTGGAAGAAAAAGTTTATGACTTCGATATTTTTGGCTATGGACGCTTTCTTTTCAACGAAGTTGAATATTAAAGCGTATTTTTAGCAAGTAATAAAAATCTCTTTTTTTTATTATTTTTGCCAATAATCAATGATTTGATATTTGACATGAAATCATTTAATGCACTTATCGACGAATTTGTCTTTCTCAACATAGTAAAATACGTTAAAACTAGCTCCTTATTTATCAGAAATTCAAATCTTTGTTTTTATCGTTATGTTATCTTTATTTTCATCAAAAAATAAAGACAATGATTCAACTACTATTGATTTATTGTATCGTCTATGTAAAGAAAATGAAATAGAAAAGGTTCGAAATACTTTACATTTTATTGATAATAGAAGTATCATTAATAAAATTCACGCATCAACTGGTTCGACATGTTTGCATGTTGCATGTTATTATGGACATCGAGAGATAGTATATATTTTATTAGAATATGGAGCTTCACGTTCAATAAGTAATTTACGATATAATTTAACAGCTTATGAAGAAACTAATACAGATGATATAAAACAATTATTAGAACAGAAACAATTTTGTTCAAATAATGATTATAATTATATTGAATGGTCTATGGTAGGCGATGATCTTCTTGATAAACGACGTGAATTTCGTCGCATTATTGATTTATATAAAACCTATGACAACCATCATTTAATATCAAAACTATTAGTTGAATTTATTCATTATTATTTAGATGAATATTTGATAAAACAATGTAATAATACCGAAAATTTGGAACGTCAAACTATTCGTAAACAAATTGAAATAATTCGAGAATGTTTTAAAGAAGCCATAGAAAAGCAAGATTATTTAACATATTTTATAAAAGCTTATACATTAACAACATGTTTTTTTAAAGAATTAAATAAACATTTAGCTCTTTATATATTAGATTATTTCGATAAAACAAAATATTTTTCACCGAATTATCGTCTTGTGAATTGTCTTACTCATATTGTAACACTTTTAATTTATCATCCAAATTTACCTCAATATCGATTTCAAGGTGTATGTTATCGTGGTATGAGAATAACCCAACATGATTTAGATGAATATCGAATAAATCAACACATATTAAATCGTTCATTTTTATCAACATCTATTGATCGTCAAGTGGCTGAAATGTTTGCTGGTGAAAGTCAACAATCTCATATGAGATATACTCATCAAAGTCATCGTCCTTTACAATATTCATGTTTATGTAAATATTTCATAAAACAAAATTCAACAGCAATTAGTATTGAAAGTTTATCGACGAGACCAGATGAAAAAGAAATTTTAATTATTCCATTTAGTGTTTTTAAAGTAACGAATATTAAGCGAAATTATCCTACGTCAACAAGCACAATTTCAATTGAAATTGAATTAGAAGAATGTGAAGATCCAAATAATAATGATAATGAATTAAAAAGTAAAAGATTTTTCTTCACATATTTCAAAGAAAATTTATTCTTTCAATTCTATTTATTAAAATGTTAGATATCGAAATATCGAAAACGAAATCAATTTTATCAGATGATGATATAAGAGACTTCAGAGACTATCAGAAACTTCAACGACGTAAATATCTTCTTTATGGCATCAATGGATTTTTACTATTAAGTTTCTTTTTGGCTTTAAGTTTCACATTCATTTTTACTTTCGTTGTTAAAAAAAATACTACTACAAGCATGGAAATGCCTACAAAAGAAAACGATACTGACGTCGGCTATCCATTACCACTGGGTAAAAATGAGACGAGAAAAAGTTTGTCAGAGAAGAGTCTATAACAAACTAAAATGTTGAAAGTTCTACGAAAAATATTTGTCTTGACTTCTAAGCAATTTGATTAAAATTCGCTCTTTCTTAATTGGTAAATACAACCACTGACTGTGAATAGCAGCAGAACCAAGGACTCAAGAGACTATAGAGAAGCCGAGTCCTTTCCCATTCCAACTCTAAACCCTAGTTCCGTCACTGACTATGAGTTCAGATGGTTCACATCGCACGATTGTTCGTGCTACCGTCAATACACCGTGGTACTTATAAAAACTCACGGTAGCGCTTACGACTTTTGGTCTTAACTATAAACAATTGCGAAGAATGTTTTCTATCAAAATTCGAGTTATTTACTAGAAAGAATTTAAATTAACCAAGAAGAAAACAGTTTCAGAATTTATTTTAATAATAAAAGTTTAACTCATAACCGGAGCCGATTTAGGCTTTGTGGCTAGCAGAGGCGGCTCAAATGTATCAAATTTGTCGAATTGCATTGTAAATGACTCAATTCGGTCAGGTTTAATAAACTTAAAAAATATTCACTCGTTTTCATACAATATACTATGATATAATACTTTTCAAAAAAAAATCAACAGTAGTTTCTCGGTAGTTATCACATAGGACAGTGGCAGTCAATTCACTAATTCTATATTTCATAGACTTCGAGAAAACATGTAAACTTGATGTTGCAGTTAAAAGTTCAATAAAACTTGATGCATTTAGAGTAAACTATTATTTAAAAAAAATACTAAAACTTATTGTTTGTTGAACAAGTACAAAATAGTCATGTTTGATGTGCATTTTTTAATAGGTTGTCCCAACATATTAAATCGATCTACCTGGAATGGACGTCAGTATATAGCTCGTGACAAGTTACCAACACTTCCGGTTACACATATTGTAATGATACCAATAGAAGATTCGAATTCAACTATGAATCAACAAGATTGTATTAAACAAATAAAAGGATTTCAAGATTATCATATGAATGCATTAGGCTGGTTTGATATTGGTTATAATTTTATCATATGTAATGATAATCATGATCAACAACAAATTTATGAAGGCAGAGGATGGAAATATATTGGTGCGCATTGTAAAGGTTACAATTCCAGATCATTGGGTAAGAAAATTCTTTTGTTTTAATTGTCTAGTACAGCGGATCTTAGGTTCTTATCAATTACATTTTGAGCTTGTCATATCTTTGTTAGCAGTAATTAAAATTTTAGATGAATTTTCATGTGTATGATTATATAAGGGTTTTATTGTTGAAGTGTTCTATTGCTTCAGAAGTTAGCATTTCGAGATATCAAATCTTTTTGTTTTGTAACAGGTATTGGTATTGTGGGCAATTTTACTAATATTAAGTCAATGAATACATTTAAATCATTAATTCAATGTGGTATTATTAAGAATGCTATTATAAAAAATTTTACTTTGGTTGGAATGTCAAGAAATATTTATGAATATTATTTGAACTATTTTAGAAATGATACCGATCTTCAATATAGCAATAAAGCTAGTGGTAAACAGGTTTTTTGTCAATAATTCACAAGCGGCCGATTTTTGTCAATTTCAAAAGTCTACTTTTTTGCAGCTGACATTGTAAGAAATTTGTTAATAAACACCGAAAAATATTAATCAATGGTAGTCGAAAACACTTTTTAACAATATTTGATATTTATGCATAAATATATCATGACTTCATGAACTGTTATGTTCGATGTACGATGCGTGCCATTGCTATGCTGAAGGATGCAGTCTCCTTAATGAATAAAAAGAAAATTACGATGGCGAAACCATAGTAACGATAGGAAAAAATCAATGAGGCTCTCGCCATTTAATTATGTTGTCTGAACAGTGTGTAAGTCTGGGCGTAATTTTCCTATTAACTCATTCCCATAGACACACACGTCTATATTCACACCCTTTTATTATCTGATCATTTTTCAAACACTAAAAGATCGAAATTTGAAGACAGTTAAAGTCAGTCGTTGTTGTTTGTCCTCGAACTCACTCTATCCTTATTAGAATTCTTCTTTTGTACTAAATTCATCTTTCATAATGAGTTTTTACTCCATTTCAGAAACCTATAAACTTTTTTTCATAAAATTTTTCGAAAATATTGAGATTTTAGAAAACGTTAATGAATAATTCTGAAAAATGCACGATTTTACAGTGATTCTTCCCAAAATGTGCACTTAATTTGTCACTAATAATGCATTCATTGCAACATAGCATACATCTCTCCGAAAAAACACTTTAAAACTTACACAAAAAAAAATCAATTAATTATTAGTATATTACAAATACTTCGTTCAAAATCGACCGAAAAATGAACTTCAATTAAAAGGCCACTAGAAATATAGCGATATGCTTAGATAATGTATAAGGACATCGTCTTTTATTCTGAGAAAAAGTTTAGTTTAATATTATAAACTAACTCTCAAGATGGTTATGTATCGATTTGTTTTGCCACCAAGTTCTGATTTTGTATTAAAGAAGGTGATTTTTTTATTCATGTAACATCCTAATGAAAAAAGTTTCTTAACGAAGCCATTTTGAGCTTGAAACGGTGGAACTCATATAAATTCTTTAGGTCCATTAAAGTACTACAAAATATGTAAAGTGAAAAATCTATAGTAGACGTAGTTGTTTCTCAAGACAATCAATCACTTCAGCCAGAGTCTCTCTTGTTTATTACTGAATTTTGAACAAAAAGTTTTTCTTTTTGGGGGCGGTTCTAAAGTCTGTAATTGTGGAGTGTCTCGAATAAGGTGGGGAGAGAAGGAAGCCGAAAAACTTCAACTTAAAACTTACACTCACTATTTTCTTTGAAAATATATGTGAGTTCCACAAAAATAAGCGATTGGTTGTCGTATATTTGATCTTGGTGCTTATGTGATTTTGTTTTTCGAAATCGTACAAATAATAACGAAATATACAAAAGTTGTTTGATTTTCTCAAAAATACCGACGCTTAGGTAAACTAACTCATTCATTAAGTTCTTTGAAGAGTTCAACGAAATATGCTACGCTAACGTCAACCACATGTTCATTTAATTTTCTATAAATGATCGACACTATTAAAACTCCGTGGAGAAAACGGGTGTGGATGTGAGAGTGAGCATGGGCGTTGATTATCTCTTAACCCATGCTCGTAGCCACAGCTACACCCTCCCTATATTCGTGTTGAGTTTCGGTGAAGAAATTATATATAGTAAGTCCATAAGTGAATAGATCGAGTGATTGATGGCATCTGCGATCGTCTTCAAATGCCGGTGGCGTATAAGAGATGTGCCCTGCTTTGTCCATAAACTGCTGTTTGCCAAAACCAACGTTACGTGCAATACCAATATCGCCAATCTTAGCCGTAAAATGTTCATCAACAAGAAGGTGGTTGGAGTATATGCCCTGATGGATCATGTCGCGAGCATGCATTTTTTGCAGAGTATTGGTGTGAAAAAGCTGTCAATACTTGTTTTACCCTTGCTTAAGAGTCTCATCAGATGACTCATCTATTTGTGATTCAAGAAGAATCCACACAAGATATATCTTCAGTGCTACGCACATGAGTGTGCAATAGAAGATTCATTTTGGGAATTTCATCATACCCCTGAAAATGTAATCTATCATTGCTTCGGCAGCAGAATAGATTCAACTTTGTTTCGATTCTCTCGTTTTGAATCGTTACAAGTACCATCTGAAGATTCTTGTTGCGGATGTGAAATGTTAATATCGCGGTTGCTTAACATACCCATACCCTCTATTTAAGCTCGTATAGTTTTAGAATACAAAGATAAAAAAAGTCGGCGTTTTCACTTTTTGGAATAGTTTTCGGGTCGAACCACAATTGATCTTCATATCGATTAATATCTTTTGGTGTCGAGGACCATGATATACATACGACTATAGGAAATTCCTTTCTTCGGTCAATTAGAATTTTCTTATCGTTTCTTTCCAAATACAAGAATACAGTAGACTATGATGTTTCAGAATGAAATGAAAAGGACTAGTAATGTGCTAACAAACCTCAATCAATAACTCTAGTATCAAAGTTAGTTCTGCATTATTAGCGTCGATGGACACGGTTATCGAGAGACAGACGAAATGGAGACTCTGAACGTCAACCAAGTCCGACAATTTCGAACACGACAGGATTACCGAGCATTCTTAGTGCCACTAAAGAAGAAAATTGTAGATGAGAGCCTACTAGACTATGATTGTCTACGACAATGGCTTTAGGGAGCCGCATATTCAGCACACTCAATTAATCACAGCATGTTAGGAAGGCATTAGTAAATATGGATGCATTTCAACGAATATCGACAGAGACTTAAACTCTATAATAAGATGCAATATCAATCACTTCTGTTTCAAATTAGTATTGATGGAAAATGCGAATGATTAGTCTAGTTACCACTCAAAACCGTAGGATTGTCATAAAACAGCATATTCCATTTTCTTTCAGCCTAGGGATAATTGAATTGGAAGTCGATGAGCGTTATTTGTAAATATACTTGAATTTGTTGATTAAATCTTAATAATATATTCACTAGAGAAATTTTTATCATGAGATATGTATAATAAAAAATATTGACACAATGGAATCGATAGGTATTTCCTTAATTTTTAATGAATGCTTTAGATCAATTTCATAAAATGCTTTGTCTATTTTTCTCACTATATATAACTTCTGTTATCTCTTTTTTTTCCAGTTATTCTCCTTTCATTTTTGCTCTAGTAAAGAGAAATTTTTGTTATGATGGATTTATTCCTATGATGGTCGGATTTTTTTTTTCTTTAGAATATTCCTAGATGTGACTGTGTAATCAATTATTGGCAAAAGCTACGATGTTGTTTATTTTCAAATTGAAAATAATCCTCAAAACTTAAACATTAAAAATGTATATTAGACAAGTGAAGCTAAGTTTGAGGAATTAATCAACCAATTATTTAAATATTTAGAGAGTATTTATCAAATTTATTATATTTTTCTAAATATATTTGATAAGAGAGTTTTGATATTCGAGAAATATTTTTCGAAAAATGATAACTATCAAAATAGTTCAGCATATAAATTCACTGGAAATTCTATTAAACAATGAAAATTTTTTTATTCATTCAAATTGTTTTCATTTCGTCGTTTTTGACGGATTTACTCATAGTACAAACTTCTAATTCATCTCGTTGAGTAGTTCCTAATTTCATTTTTTCTTTTGGAAATAGGTGACGTCGACCAGTGTCAATATAACCACGACGAATGTAATAGGCAGTTAATTCATATCGGTCAATAAAAGTTTTTAATTCAATATATTCAACATTCCAATTGTTTACAGCATAATTTTCAGCAATGGATAAGATAAATTTTCCATAACCTCGAGCTTGTAAATCTGGACGCACAGCAAGCATGCCTATTTCAGCAATTTTAGATCCGGCTTCATGAAATAAATGAACACATCCTTTTAAAATTTGATCTTTTTCACCAAAGAACATCAAAAAGACATAATTACCACTATCAATCATGCTAAACAATGTATCTGCAGTTGTTCTTGGCGGAAGAATTAATTCATCTGCATTAGTCCATCCTTGATGTGACAATTCACCACAATAACTACTGTTTATTAGCACATTTAATGAATCACAATCTGATGTTGTTGCAATACGATAGATTAGTGAATCAGAGATATTCATCATACGATTATAATCGGTTGAGATTGTGCCTTTTATATGAGACATTCATTCCTACAAATAAACATATTGCATAACTAATGACCTTCGATGAGATGAGAATTTGACATTAAGTAGAAAGTCTAACACATTGAAAATCTAAGTAACAATAAAGTAAATTACAGTTGACATATAGAATTTTTCAGATGAAATAGATCTGAATACTATTCATTTCACTTTTTGAATGAAAACTTTGCAAATTTTATCCATATCCGTGAGACTCTCGATCGGTTCTGAAAAACATTTTTCTCGCCTCACCGCAAGTAAAAATATTTCTTTCAACTGAAGTCTCGCTCTAATTTGATCCTCCATTGCACCTTCTACTATTGATAGATATGTATGAAAAAGAATAATGGGAAAGAGCAAGGATGACCCTGGTCATAGAAAAAAACGAAATGTCTTCTAACGCTAGGAATCTTGCTGACACTATGGAAACTGACAGAAATTAAAAGAGTCAGTTGCGAAAATATTTTTCATAAAACATTTGTAACTCATTGTGAAATTAGAAAATATATCATATGTTCGAGTTGTAATATGGAAGAAATATTTAAAGATGATCTACAATGAAACTGCATAATTTTGGCATAACTGACCACGATCTGAAAATGTTGGCTTATACACTTAGGAAAAAAGAGCATGACTTTCAACATATAATGAGTAGCCTATAAAAAATGGGAGACTGTTGTTTTCTTTTTCTGAAAATTAGAAATAACATATGACGCAAAAGTAATAGGATACATTTTGGTCTCTATTTCTTTTTAATAGAAAGGTACTGAAAGAAAATTATTTTACCAAAAGATAGAGCTTTTTCTCCTCTTTTGAATCGTATATAACTTATTTTTATAATATCCTCACAAACGAAACAATACAACAGAAAAGAGAAGCACCCTTAAAAAGAACCCGCAGTTTTCGTGAGATTCAGAAAAACGGCGCAAAATATTGTTTTCTATAACTCTTCCACAAACACATTTTGAAACGAATATTTTACCAGTGAACAGGAAGTTTTCTTCTCTTTCAAACAATGTATGATTTATATCCATCTCACATTCATCAATGAAATGAGACAAGAAAAAAAGAGAAACATTTGCAAAATAGATTTATAATTTTTATATGAACTCATCAAACACATCTTGTTAGACGACAATTGATGCGATCTTTGTGGACTCATTAAAAAGGTCTTGTCAAACAGTGATTACCTTGACTTTTACGAACTCGTTAAAAACATCTTGTAAAACGACAGTTAGTTGTCATCAGTTGCGGTCTACAAGATATTTTAAACGAATTCATATAAAAATTATAAATTTATTGGAGGGAGTACTAATTGCGCGAAAGAAAAATATCTCGAAACGCAAAACCTCGTAAGATGAAACATCAAATATGGAAAATCTTGAAAGTTTGTAAAACAATCAATAACAGTAGATTTATATTGAAATTCATCTTTCATTAGAACGATTCCAACAAGTGCCTCTAACTGATGAGTTATACTTCTGCGGGTATTAGTATCGGTGTCGACGTACTTTTGGGCGTGAGCAAGTTCGGATGTTGGTCTCGATGCTGGTAGGCCTGGATGTGAGCCATCAGTTGACTCACACCCGACAACCACACTCTATACCGACACTCATACCTTAATCGCCAATATTTCAAAATGCGGAAATTGATTCATAAAGATATCTTGAAAGTTTATCATTACTTATCATAGCGGATATGAGAGCAAAAAATGATTTTCGAATCAGTACTGAATTTTTTTCTTATGATCGTATTTCTTTTTAATTCTCTTTTGTGCTAATTTTTCTCTCCAGCTAAAGAGCTAAAGCACCCTATCACAGTCGATGTTGTATACGTATCCTCTTTATTTCCACATTTTTTGTCATTTTTCAACAAACTTATTATTAATAAATCGTATATCTATCAAGTATTCGAATTGCTTTTACATATTATACTTTCGAAATTTTTGTTTCTAGATTTTGACTTTTCGTGATTTTGCACGTTCGAGATTTTCTTTTTCGAGCTTTATACTGTTCGATATTTTGCACGTTCGAGTTTTTGCCTTTCAGTCTTTTTTTTCCGAGACTTTACCCTTCGATCTTTTTCCTTTCATACAATGAACCGTAATTAAATTTATTGTACGTGTGTTTCTTTTTTTATTGTCTCATTTGACTTACTAATATGTGACACACATGATTCACACACTGTTCGAAAGAGAAGAAAATTTCCTATCAACTGATAAAAATATATTCTTTTCAGAACCTATTTATCAAAGAGATATAGAGATTGACATTTTGTGCAGACCTTTTATAGAAAAAGTGTGGATTCTTTTTAAAGGTACTTCTCTTTTCTGCTGCATCGTTTTATTTATGAAGATGTTCTAAATATAAGTTGTGTACGATTTGAATGAGGAGAAAACGCTCTATCTTTTGTTAAAACACTTTTCTTTCAGCACCCATTCTATCAAAGAAAAATAGGGTTCGATATTTGTCCCATTACTTCTGCATCGCATGTTACATTTCCAGGTTTTCATTCTGAGCTCTGAAACAATTCGGATTCGGATTTTATTTTTCACATAGGTTTTTCTAATTGGCACAAAACTTGAAAAGAATAACAGGTACTCAAACGCATGATTAAGATCTCCGACATTTTCGTTGAACATCGATAGATTTGGGAAAACTTGTGTACCATCAAGTATTATTCTAAACTGAAAGTATTTTGACGTCAGTAGATAGAGAATCCTATGCATTACACTTCTAACATCTTCGCAAGCAAGACTTATGATGCTCTCGCACCGATTTAAAAGAATGGAAACTAACATTTGACAGTATTTATTAGATGCGCTCTCGAAAGTATTACTTCCAAAGTTAGAGGTGCATGACGAAAGATTTATTAGCATATCGATTTATATAGAATGTAAGTCTGAAATAAGAGCAAACATTTCCAGAAGCCTACCAGAAAAGAATCTTTTACAGAATTTTCGAATTATTATGTACAAAACTTTCTCTCAATTATTTTTTCGAAAGCTTGTTAACATACATTGATGGAAAGAGAAATTTACGGACAATCTGTTAGCATATTCCAAATTTCGCTAGAGCTCTTATTGAAAAAATATTTTATCAATTTTTATTTTTATACTGTCAGAGTTGGAGATTTGAGCACCGGTTAGTGTTCTCGGTACTTCGTCAGCAAGAAAAGCCTATCTGAAAACAAACTCGGTAGTTTTGAAGAGCGGAAAAATTGTACTTCAAATCAACTAATAACGAAACCTTTGAATTATGCTTCTAGTTTTCAGAAACAGAAAAAAAAGTCTCTCATTCTTTATGGACCACTTATTACAATTAGATGATACTTTTTTTACCAATCACAAAATCACTTCGTAGTTGTAACACACAAGTCCTCGTTGAAAACAGAAACAGTATTGATAGGATTTCGAAGTATTAGACACTGCCAGAAATTATGGGAAACGATAAAAAATATCAATGGAAGTAAAACGACCACAGAAACCAAAAACAGTTTGATCTGCCTTGATGAGAGCAAAATCAACAACAGAAAAAAAAACAATTACGGCGAGCAGGTCAAAAATGAAAATATCAGAGAGAATGAATTAAACCAATAACAAAGAACAGATGTGTTTGCGTCATAGAGTGACATCTGTTGACACTAACAGTATTGATTCTACTTGAGTGTAACTAACAATATCACAAAGTAAAAACGATGACGACACTAAATATACGCTTTATGTTTCTTATCATAGGTTTTTAAACACAAAACATAACCTGCTACAAATAGTTCATAACTATATCAAAACAAAGAACGACAAAAAAACAAAAGACACACTTAAGCCTTGTCTCACTAGAGATTAATACTCTATTAAGGTCCTATCCTCAAAAATCGATCTCAGCCCAGGTAAGTTCAAGTAGTATGAAATTTTCATGATGTGTTGGGGTGTAGTGGAGAAGCTATGGTAAAATTTTCAGTCCAATATCATGACTTTTGAAGGAGATATTGACCAAACAATGGTCACAAATAGCTCATTTGACAAACCAGATTTCCCTGTCCGAACTCATTCTATATCTTTAATTTTTTTTGTTTGAAAGAGTATCTGTGGGTGTGGGTGTGGGGTGTTGGTGTTGGTATTATCTAATCACCCATGCACAACCTCCTACTCACAACCATATTCATACCGTGACGTCCAAACCCACCCATAACCCACACCCATACCGTATGAAGCGAAGTCTGCTTCCGTTTAGGCAAGCATTTTGAAGTATCGGACTCAAAAACATCCTGCTTAAATAGACTCTTTTAGAGATGAATCTTATGAGTACTGTTTAGTAGAATATACTGTTTTAATATTACGAAAGAAAGAAATGTCTACGTAATAAAGAGGACCGAATGTAGATGAACTAGAACGAGTTTAAGCTAATTGACTATATATTCCTTAGCTAAGTTTAAAAAGCTGTGAATAAATTAATGTCGGAATAACAACTGAGTTAAATCTTTTCCTTGCAGTAATTCGGCATACGGTGCCTTTTTAAATGTTTAACAAAATTTCTAATGATCCATAGTGAGAGTATTATTGTTAGGATATGTTTATTTCATTGAAAGAAGCTGAATATGCAAAGAAGAAAATAGCACGGATTTTTTTTGCTGCCTTTACAGTATTTGACTCAATTTTTTTCACTTATTGGATTTTTTGTATAGGTCGTCGAGAAATGTTGGTTTCTTTGTTTCCTATAACAGCTAAAAAATATATGGAATTATTCAGGAAATAATGTACTTTAACAATCATAGATTCTTTCGTTCTGATCAAAGATAATATACGAGTAATACAGATAATAACCATGACGTATCATTTTTATGGTCTCCTTATTTCGTCTGCTTACATATTTTCTTATCTTCTGCTGCTTCAACAATCACACCGATGTATTTTGAAAATATGTATCAATTTCTCTTTATTTAACCCTTTCAGGATGGGAGAC